CCAGGGTGTTAGCCAATCAGAAGTGAGTCTGGACTTTTGACCCCCCCCCCAGGTCATCATAGAGTTGTGATTGGCTGGTTTAGGTTGCCCCCCCTTCCCTGCTGCCTATTCCCCTCTTACTTTTCCTGTGATACCCCCCTCCAGGCTGTTGCTGAGGACTGTGTTTGGGGGGAGGGTTTGATTGGGGCCCATCTTGTCCCCCTCCTCCAAATTTTCCTGCCTGTTGCCAGGGAAGGTTAGCCCTCCTGAGGGACAGGAGGTACTCTGGGGAAGGGGGGCAGATAATTGGGCCCTCGGGGTCTGGCATCTGCACCCTGGTGGGAGGGGGAATGTGGCAGCTCCAAGCAAGTTAGGAAATAGAGTGATTTGTGGGAGTCGAGTTCAGGGGAGCAATACTAGACCCCAAAGTGAGAACTTGGGAGAGGACTCAGGCCCAGATCCCTGTCTCCCCAAAACACTTATCAGCTCTTGCTAGTGAAAGCCTGGGTCTGAGTTCTTTCCTGGAGAGGGGGAGGGCTCTACCTCACTGCCAGGAGAAAAGAGAGAGGCTATGTGACTGGAGACTTAGTCTTCAGAGGGCCTCAGAACACTGTCTTTCCTCATTCTCAGGATTTTGGGTTCTTGAATTATGTGCAGGACCTCCTCTTGTCCCAGGCTGGAGTTAGCTTTCTTCTGAAAGTCAGGTGTCCCAGAATCTAGTTTGGTTTGGATCCTTTGCTTCTGCACATGCCCCGTTCTCTGGGAGCCCCATACTTCACAACTGAACCTCCAGTACACACAAACAACACACACAAACATATACACACAATCCCCAAGGGGAGCTGCCAGTGCGGAAGCTTCCTTGAAAATCATGTGACAGGCCAGGCTGGGCTGGGCACACATTTAAAGTGCCTGGTGAGGCTGACGTTAAAGGGGCATGGGGCCCTTAAGGGAGGAAGGACTAGTAGAGAAAGCATGAGGATCCTGGAATATCCGGGTGTGGGAACCCCTGGCTCCTGCTGCAGAGGGTGGGGGAGAGGAGGAGAGGGAAGAGCTCGCCAAGCTGGAATCCTGCCTGGCCCCATCATTCCTCCTTCTACCAGCTTGGTGTGCATGTTTATATGTGTATTTTCTTTATAATTGCCCTATGCTGGGTACCCATTCAGATCCATCCAAATTGTGAGTCCTCCCCATGGCCCTCATCCTCCATCACCATACATGAACTTAGCAGAAACTAATGCTCTGAACAAGCTAGAGGGCTGAGTCTTAAATTTTAATTCTTAGTTACTACAAATAGTGGGTAGGAGGTAGGTATGGAAGGGTTGTCAGGCTGGAGGTAGATGAGCGGTTGGTCCTGAAGTTGAGGCAGGGTGCTGGGTCCAGTAGGAGAAAGGATAAAGATTCCCCCTCAGTTTCCCTGGGAGCAGCATGGGGACAGGAAGAGGACCATGCACAGGGGGGTGTGAGGGGGGACAGCTTCAGTCAGTGCCCCAAAAGACATGTTCCTTTTGTGTGTCTGGGTGGCCTGGCTGGAGGAAAGGGGGGCAAAAGATGGCTAAGAGTGGGGAGTTTTTTTTCCCTGAATGTGAAGAAGTCATGGATTGATGCCACAGAGAGTGGATGGAGGTTAGACTTCAAGGAGAACCAAATGGGGAAGGGCCTGAGAGTGGCCAGGGGGTGAGGAATGTTAGGAGTTGGAGTAAGGGAGGGGACCAGGCTTGTATGGATGGGTGGGAGCACATGGTTGAATACAAGGGCATCATGGCAGCTTGTACAGTCCAGGCCCAAAGACCCCCCCCCCCACTTGAGCAGGCCTGGGGTGGGGGCCGAGGCGCCCTGGCAGGCCGCCTGCCTGCTGCCTGCCTGCCTGTCTGAGTCTCTCCTTTGTGCTCTGCTGTCTCCCGGCTCCTCCTCCCCCAGCCCAGCAGAGACAGCACATGCCCCACACATGTGACTGAGGGAAGCCAGAGCACACGCAGACCCACACACACGCAAACGCGGAAGGAAACACCACAAGATACACACACACACACACCCCTACCCCTCCCCCCCAGCTCCCATAGTGCTTCTGGGGTAGGTAGTAGCTTCTGAAGCTTTGGTCAGGAGCAAGGAGAACCTCTGCTAAGGGGCATCACCGGCACAGGGCAGGTTGCTGAGGGAGCCAGGGCCTGTCTGGGGCAGCATGTGGCTCAGAAGGGTTAAGGCAGGGAGGAGTAGGGGGAGGGGAGGAGGCAGCAGTGGTGGCGGCTGGGAGCCAGGAGAGGAGGATGGCAGAGCGCCAGGCCAACGGGAGGCCGGGCACAGACAAAGGAAGGGGGGCAGGCACACTGGAGGCCTGGGTCAGGGAGCCCCAGGGGCCCCGGGCAGGGGGCAGTGCTGGTACCTTATCCTGTGGGTTGGGACAGGCTGCTGCCCTTCAGAGTTGCACCTCCAGGACGGTTACTTTTCCTCTTCTCTCCTTCATCACCTTTGTCATTCTTTGCTGCTCCCTGCTTTCTCCCCACTGCTCCCCTCTCCGCACCACCAATTTTAGGGCCTTCTAACTCCGACTTGCTTTTTTTAGCTGAACCTCTTCTGCTGCTGTGCAAGTGGGGGAATTAAGTCAGAACTGAGCGAGGAGCAGACTTGCTAGAGAACGGGAACCAGGAGCAGGACCCCTTTTTGAGTGATGGGCCAGAGTCCTGATAATCTTGGTATTTAGGAGCCTTTCTTTCCAAAATTTGAGGAGACAAACTGGGTGCGGGTTCTGAGCTCTAAACTGGGGGCAGAAGCCAGAGCACACACCCATCCCTCTTCCTCATGTAGACAGTCATTTGGGGCCTGGAGTGGCCATTCCTTGGAGGGGGAAGAGAATAGGAATGGCTGCAGTGCCCCAGGGCTGGGCTTGTATGAGTGGGATTAGAAGTCCAGGGTTCCAGTTCAGGCCCTCCTGTCTCACTGTAATCTGTTCAAATTAGCATCATATTTGACCCTGTAGTCAGTAAGGATCTCTTGAGGTACTGCCTATAAATGCACTTTGGAAAGTTTTTTTTTTTTTAAAGATTTTATTTATTTATTTGACAGAGAGAGAGAGAGCGAGAGCAGGAACACAAGCAGGGGGAGTGGGAGAGGGAGAAGCAGGCTCCCCGGGGAGCCTGATGTGGGACTCCATCCCAGGACTCTGGGATCATGACCTGAGCTGAAGGCAGATGCTTAACGACTGAGCCACCCAGGTGCCTGCACTTTGGAAAGTTTAAAAGCAGAAACAAATGACAGGAATTGTCCTGTCAGTAGGGGAGAAGTGTGACCATCTCAGAGTTGGGCTGCTAATTTGGGAGTCAATGGAATATTTCAATTCCTGGTGGTAGGCAGTATGTTGCAGGGTCTGGCTGAATGTCACAGATTTCAATATGTTTGTGAAAGCTGGAGCATATCATATGGTCAGACCATGATGGAGAATGGTATGCAGGTTTCAGGAAGGTGGTTTATGGAGTAAGTCCCTGGTAACAAAAGGTCAGGATGTGTATGTAATAGTCTGTCACAGGTTCTGGGGCTATAATGCAGTTTGGGTGTGTGTATTGGGGTCAAAGGGCATGTGTCACAGGTCCCAGTGTGTACAGAAGTCAGAGCTGTCATAGACTGTGTGTGTGTGTGTGTGTCCTGGGTTTGGGTTTATTTAGCATTTGAGGTATGTCGCAGCTTGAAGTGTGTATCAGGTTCTGATTTATGTGGAAGTAAGATGTGTTATTTATGTGTGGAGGATGTTCACGGAGCCAGGTGCAATATTATTGCACAGTCAACCAGTGTGTTTGTCATGAGAAATCTTGCTGTGGGGCTGTGTGAATGTGGTTGTGGGGGCAGGGCAGGGAATAAGGAGCAGAGACTCAAATTGCAAAGCAGTCGGAGGTTTGTATGGCTACCCCTGTGCGCGCGTGTGTGTTTCCTTTTCCTATCTGTCCAGATAGTAGGGCCTGGACCACCACCCCAGTTTTATTTTATTTATTTATTTAAGATTTTATTTATTTATTTGACAGAGACACAGCGAGAGAGGGAACACAAGCAGGGGGAATGGGAGAGGGAGAAGCAGGCTTCCTGCGGAGCAGGGAACCCGATGCGGGGCTCGATCCCAGGATGCTGGGATCGTGACCTGAGCCTGGGATCATGACCTGAGCCGAAGGCAGATGCTTAACGACTGAGCCACCCAGGCGGCCCACTACCCAAGTTTTAGAAACACCTACTCTCTTGGGATTTCCCCCTTGCATTGGAGAACAGACCCTACTTCGGTAACCATATACCACTTTTTCCCTGGGATGGGGGAGCAGACTAGGTCCTTTCTGGGGACGCTTGGATGGGCAGATTGGCCTTCCCTAGCTGTGACAGGGCCTCTTTCCCTTGCACCCACGAGACTCTGGTGGTGGAGGTTAGGGAAGGGAGTTAGGAACTTAGCTGGGTTGGGGACAGGGAGACTGGAGTGTCCCTCTCCCTCCAATCACTGTTTACCCGCAGAAGCAGAGTGTGTGTCTCTGTCAAAAATAACCCCCTGGAGGCTCCCCCCAGCTGCTCTGGGATTTCACCAGGGGCCGAAGCCCAGGGTGGCAGCTCCGGCCAGCTTTCCAACCTGAGAGATCACAGTGGAGAGGAAGAGAGATTTGGGGGATGTTGGGGAGGCAGTTTGAAGATGCTGGGAGTCTCCAGAGAGGAGAGCACCCTTCTCCATCCCTGCCAGTGGCTCCGGCTGGCCTGCTCACCCCTGAGCATCAGGCTGGGGGCTGGGGGCATTTCAGTTCCTGGCCCCACACACCTCCCCTCCATCCAGGTCTCTCCAGGTCCAATCTGATCTGTCTCCATCTCTCCCTCTCGCCTCTCTCGGTCTCTGTCTCTCTTTTGTTTTTCTCAGCAGTCCTCCCTGCCTGCCTCCGTCTCTCCCTCCCTCCCTCTTCCTCTTTCCTCGCAGGGAGGGGGCGGGGCCGGTGGGGGCAGCTCCACCCTCCGCCCGCCCTGGGGCCTCATTCTGAGAGAGGCTCGGAGATCGGAGAGCGAGCGGAGGGAGGGATAGAAAGGGAGAAAAGGAAGGGAGCCGGCGGGCGCTGCGTGTGTCTGTGCGTGTGCAAGTGTGAGTGAGTGTGAGTGCCGGGCCCTGCCTCTCCTGGTGCCCCCGCGGAGGGGCCTACTGGCCTGGGGAGGGCGGGCGGGCTGCTTGGAGGCAGAGGCAGCGAGAGGCGGCGGCGGGGAGAGCCGAGGAGGAGGAGGAGGAGGAGAGGAAAGAGCGGAGCAGCCATTGTTGAGGGAAACCTTGCAAACAAAGAAGGCTCCGGACTCCCCGCGGCCCCCCGCCCCCCAGGCCGGCCCCCTGGCCCCCAGCCCCTGGCCCAGTGGCCATTGTAACTTTCCCCCGGGGCTGTGGCCGCCGCGGGGCTGGCCGAGGCTGTGCGTGCGAGTCTTTGTGCGGCCCGCGGAGTGGAGCTCCCAGCCAGGCCTGCCTGTCCCACTCGGGACATGAGCGGCTGAAGTTGGCCCCCTCAGTCCTCACCCCTGCCAAGGCCCCTCTGGGCTTCCAGCCGCTCCCCGCACCTCTCCTGGCCCCCTCAGTTCTCCCAGGTAAGTCTGGGCACCCTACAAGCCTTTTGGGGGTGGGTAGAAGATCCTGGATCTGGCCCTGGCCTGGTATGCTAGCTGTGGGAGAGGTGCCCCAGCTCAGAGAGGCCAGGGCTCTCAGGCCTGCTGACCTGTGTCAGCCCCCAAAGGGAGGGGCCCTGCCCTCAGGTCAGGCTGGTTACCATGGAAATGCCCAGCTGGAGGTGCCCCCCTCAGCCCCAGGATGCAGCTCCCCATCCTGAGAAAACTTTACTAGTTCTGGGCTCTTCCTCTCTTCTTCCTCCTCCTAAGGGCTCCCAGATTGCTAGAGGTTGTGTGTGTTGGTGGGGGCTATGTCTGACTCCAAGGCTGATGACACATCCCCTTCACCCCCACCCCCACTTTGCTCCCTCTACCCCTGCTGCTGGGGACAGGCAGCAACAGGGACAGATGGTCTGGGTGATGTTCCCTCCCCTTCTCACTCCCAAGCCCTTGTGCTGGGGCTACTGGGAGTTGCTATGGCTCCGAAGAGATGCTGAGTGTTTGTGTCCATTCACTGGAGGTGTAAATAGAGGCCTTAGAGCTTTGGGCTTTAGCTCTTCAGAACTGTTACCCAGCCCCAGGCGATGTCTGCCAGGTCTCTGGTGAGAGAAATTGAAGCTCTGAAACTTTTTTCAAAATTAGAGAGGATCCAAGTGTGCTGCCTCTCTTCTCCTGAGGGTCTTGAGCTGACACATTTCTCCAAGTAATGCTGAAACTGTGGGGCAGGGGCGGTGATGCTTTTGGGGAAAGGATGGCCTAATTAGGGGGCAGGGGAGGTCTCATAATCTAGACTCTTGGGTTCATTGGCCAGACCTGGCCTTTGGTAGGCTCTGGGAGCTGGGGCCTCCTACGTGGACTTAGTCTACCTGTCTATGGAGTGGGGAGACTTGGGGCTTGGGGGGTGGGGTGACTGTCTCTTTCCTAAGGATACAGGCTCCTCATTCAGTCCAGACTGGCATGTGAAGGCTGTGTGCTGTGCTGGGGGCATGTGGATGTGGCCTGTGAGAGATCGTGCACGGAGCAAGGGCCTGTTGCAGGCACCTTGATCCTGCCTGGGGCTGCTGGGTTCCAGCTCTTGCTAGGCAAGTCAGGGCGAGCTGAGGGTGGAAGCCTGCTAGGCAGGATGAGGCACACGTGTGTACAGGTACACACAGGCTCTGAGTCTTGGCACCTTCAGGAACTGTGTAGTGTAGGCCCCTCTGGGACGCTCCTTTGCCCATATTGTGAGGAGGGGGCCCTGGAGACATAATTAAATGATGCATGTTGGCACAGGGTCTTCTTTGTCTCTTCTCCCTAAGGAACAAAATAGATTTTGTATCTAATTTGGGGAGGGGATTTAGATACAGCCAATATGGTCACCCTTCCAAATGCAATCAAGTTTTGGGGATGCCTGGAAGCACCTATGAGTGGGGCTAGGACCTTTGTTGCTGTGCCTCAGTTTCCCCTCCTATCTGGTTGGGTGGGGGAAGATAGGATTGCAGGGGTGCCTGGTTCATACCCAACTATGAATGTAATACTTCCAGGAAACAGTACACCAGGGACAGTGTGCTGCTCATTAAGGTGGATAGGGGACATGTGTGCCCATGCACAGAGACACATAAGCAGAGACCTCTGTCCTAGACTGAGCCCCCTGGAACCTAGGTTCCTTCCCAGGCCTAGGTTTGTACATAGAGTGGAATCCATTGGAAGCCTGTCTATCTTCCTTCCCCACTGCAAGTCTCAGAAATGAAAGGAGGTTGAGGCTTTGGGTTTCTGGTTTGGAGACAATACTAGACCCATGGTGGGTGTGGGGGAGGGGGCTGGGCTGATAAGGGAGTGGCCGTTGGTGGGGGAGGCAGAAAGCCCAACTGGTTATCTGGTGGGAGGCACCCAGCAGGCACCCACTCCCCTTTATCTTTCTATCCCCTGTCCTCCTGAGACCCTGGGGGTGGAGGAAGGGCAGGGAGTTGGCAAATTCCCCCCCCCCCCCGTTTCCCCTCCTCCAGCTTGGTCTCCAGAGGGCAATAGAGGGGTGGAAATACTACAGGATGTGGGAATCAGATCTAGGCTCAAGTCCTAGCTCTGCCAGTTACTAGCTCTATCATCTTGGCAGGTCCCCTTGAGCTCTCCGTTGCCTCATCTGTAAAATGGGGATTTTATAGTTGACCCTGCTACCTCACAAGGTGGTTGTGATTGAACAATATGATTCAGGTGGAAGGGGGATTTATCAAAATTAGATTCTAGTGTTTGGATATTCATTTATTCTATGGTATTGACATTTCCCAGCTTCAGTTCTCTCATCCAGGGTTCAGCCACATGAAGAAATGGGGTCTTGGGTATTAGGGCTGAGTACTTCTAGTTTCATGGTAAAACAAAATTGAAGCTAGATTTAGAAGCAGAGGCAGGTAGGTGTTCCTTAGGGTCATCCCCCTCCCCTAGTCCACCCACTCGGGGGGCTCTGGAAGACCAGTCCCTGTCCACACAGTCTAGGAGACTTCCAGGAAAGATCCTTGGGACTCAGGGGACCCCTTCTTCCTTTGCCTTCTAGGTTGTTCCTCAAAGTCATTCAAGCTGTACTCACCGAAGGAGCCCCCGAACGGCAACGCCTTCCCTCCCTTCCATCCCGGCACCATGCTAGATCGGGATGTGGGGTGAGTCTTACCCACTTCCCATCTCTTCTTCAGATGGGATCCTGCCTGAAAAGGGGGAGGGAGTGACACTCCCTAATAATTCCTGTCTTCCACCCCCATTCTCATAGCCTCTTCCCTTACACAGCCCAACTCCCATGTACCCGCCTACATACCTGGAGCCTGGGATTGGGTAAGTGGAGTCCAGTGAGGAGGAAGGTGCTTTCCATTATATGGGTGAAGGCAGAAGTGGGGGGGGTGGGGAGGCTCTTTCCTACTGACCTCCCTTCTTCACTTCCCCCAGGAGGCATACACCATATGGCAACCAAACTGACTACAGAATATTTGAGCTTAACAAGCGGCTTCAAAACTGGACAGAGGTATGGCCAGGGGAAAAGGGCTGGGAGGGGGAGGACCACCTGGGAACCCCTGTGGGGTGTCTTCTGACACACACACACACACACACACACACACACACACACACACAAACATCCCGCTCTGTGCTCCTTAGGAGTGTGACAATCTCTGGTGGGATGCTTTCACAACTGAGTTCTTTGAGGATGATGCCATGTTAACCATCACTTTCTGCCTGGAGGATGGACCAAAGAGATATAGTGAGTGGCCTCTGGGGGTCCTGCTGGTTCTGCTGTGAGAGTAATACCTTCTGTGTCCATCTAAGGACTGGGAGTAGGTATTTGTCTCTGGGGATCTGTTTTGGCAATGATGGCATCTGCCTGACCCCTTTGGAGGTCCTTCTGTTCTATTGAGTTTGTCCCATCTCTACAGCCATTGGCCGGACCTTGATCCCACGCTACTTCCGCAGCATCTTTGAAGGGGGTGCTACGGAGCTGTACTATGTGCTTAAGCATCCCAAGGAGGCATTCCACAGCAACTTTGTGTCCCTCGACTGTGACCAAGGCAGCATGGTGACCCAGCACGGCAAACCCATGTTCACCCAGGTCAGCAGCCCAGCTGGATGTGGAACACTGAAGCACCTGGGTTTGATTCCCCTCCTTTCTCCCAAAATACTCAGCTGTTCCCCAGGGAGGCAAAACAGGAAGTGGCAAGACGAGAAGGGAGGGCAGGCATGCTGCAGCATCCATCAAACATTTACTGAGTTTGTACATGACGGTTTTCTGGGCTGCAGGGGTATACCAGTGAATGAGTTTGTAGCAGATGAGTGTATCACTAGCTACTTGGGAAGAGGACAAGGGTCTGTTCAACATTTCTACTGTGTGTGTGTGTGTGTATGTATAAGGGCCAGGCTTGTGACAGGTGTATGAGGGAATGGTCTTTGTTAGTTATGCACCCAGATTTATGGGCAGATGGCAGAAGTGTATTCAGTGGGAGAGTTGTGAGCAAACGGGAGAACAGGTATACTTTCAAGGACGTGGGGAGGGGGCTGAGATGTGACAGGCTTGTCTCCAGGTGTGTGTGGAGGGCCGGTTGTACCTAGAGTTCATGTTTGACGACATGATGCGGATAAAGACGTGGCACTTCAGCATCCGGCAGCACCGAGAGCTCATCCCCCGCAGCATCCTTGCCATGCATGTGAGTTATGGGCAGGACCCAAGCTGCAGGGGTTGAGGGCAGGCACTGGGAAGGGTGGATGGCACAAGGTCTGCCATTTCTTGACCGTGACCTCAGACAGAGAGTTGGAGTATCTCCGTCTGAAAAATGGGTTTCATAAGAGCCCCTCTTCTCTCTCAGGAGTGTCATGAGGCTCAGGTGATAGGTCAGGTGAGCAGATGCAACCCAGGTGCTAGTGTTCTGTTCTTTCTCCTCACCTAGGCCCAGGACCCCCAGATGTTGGATCAGCTCTCCAAAAATATCACCCGGTGTGGGCTGTCCAATTCCACTCTCAACTACCTCCGAGTGAGTCCTTGACCACCCGGTTTCTGCCCCCATCCCATTTGGTGTCAGCTTCCCCCTGACAAGCCACCTCCTGGTCTCCCCTCAGCTCTGTGTGATACTCGAGCCCATGCAGGAGCTCATGTCCCGTCACAAGACCTACAGCCTCAGCCCCCGTGACTGCCTCAAGACCTGCCTTTTCCAGAAGTGGCAGCGCATGGTAGCACCCCCCGGTGAGTGCCTTCCACCTGCCCCTGCTCTTACTGGGGTCTGGTGACGCTCCCCAGCGCTGGTTCTCTCTCCTCACGAAGCCCTTTCCTTGCTCTTGGGTCCGTGAGATTGGGATCGGGGTAGGCTCAGGCTCCCTAGGGGCCAGGATGGGGCACAAGGGACCCGAGGTCTTGCCTCTCCTGAATCTCCTTTCCCTGGTATAGCGGAGCCCGCGCGGCAGCAGCCCAGCAAGCGGCGGAAACGAAAGATGTCAGGGGGCAGCACCATGAGCTCGGGGGGTGGTAACGCCAACAACAGCAACAGCAAGAAGAAAAGCCCAGCCAGCACCTTCGCCCTCTCCAGCCAGGTACCTGTAAGCATCTCGGCTTTCTTCTCTCTTCTGGGCTGCCCTACTGCTGACCCCTAAGGCTTGACCCTGTCCCAGCCTAAGCTCACTAGCAGGCATAGAAGCAAAGAGAGTTTTTCCTGGTGTGCTCTGCCAGCGTGGGCTGGCTCCTGTCACTGATGAGAGTCCTTGTCAGTCATGTGCCATGGTTGTGATCACAGACTCAGACAGAACATAGGACATAAAGGGACAGGGACAGCCGTGATAACATGGATGTTCAGGAGAGATAGCTTAGAGGCCCACATACCATCAGATACACACACACTGACAGAGGGACACGTGAATTTGAACGTGTGCGAATCTAGAATACGCACATACGCACATGCACATGCTTTCCCTATTTGGTGTTTTTTTCTCCGCTTCCTAAACAGGAAGTTTAGGAGCCCCCTGAAGTTTGGGGGATATGAACTAGGGAGCGAGGGGAGTAGATTGACTTCTCCTAGAATCTAGTGTTTGTGATGCTCTGCAGTCCTTCAGTAGGAAGGATTCCAGGGACTGAGGGTGTCAGAGGAGTTGGGGTTTTAAATTTGGGTGAGAAGGGGTTGGGGGTGTTGAGTTTCCGGGGTGGGTATTGGGGCTCTCTGCTGCCCTGGGCCAGGCGAGCCCCTGCCCCGATTATGTTTGGGGACCTCCGCCACTCTCAGGATGTGATGGTGGTGGGGGAGCCCACCCTGATGGGCGGGGAGTTCGGGGACGAGGACGAGAGGCTCATCACCCGGCTGGAGAACACCCAGTTTGACGCGGCCAACGGCATTGACGACGAGGACAGCTTTAACAACTCCCCCGCCCTGGGCGCCAACAGCCCCTGGAACAGCAAGCCTCCATCCAGCCAAGAAAGCAAATCGGAGAACCCCACGTCACAGGCCTCCCAGTAAAGGCCTCGCCATGGCCACCCAGTGCTCTGCCTGCCTGCCCCACCCCTCGCAGCCCCAGGGAGCAGAAGACAGAATGAAGAGACTGAGCATCTAAAATGGGTAGCCTCCATCCACCCACTTCAGGGAGGAACTGGACTCACTGGGGGCAGGTGCCAAGATTTGCCCCCCAGTGGCCCTGGGCTGGGCCTGGCCTCTGCAGAGCCTTTTGGGGGGAAGGGGGTGCTCATGTGGATGCCTACGTGGACCCTGGGCCTCTCAGAAATGTCCTGACCACCCCCAGGGCATTTGCCTCCATCTTCACCCCAGGTTCTGGGTTCCGCATCCTCCTGATTCCAGCCCCTTCAAGCCTGGGGTTGTTTATCCCACAGCCCCTAGGGACTTTAAAGTTATGGGGCTTGGTTGAGTGCCCCTTTCCTAAACCTTCCCCTAGGTGGCTGGTAGTAGAGGGGTAAAGCTCTGGCTCCTCCCTGCAGCCACCTATCCCAGCTCCCAAGTTTTTTAAAAAATAATATTATTAAAAATGTAAGTTTAAAAAAAATCACTCATGTACCCCCTCTTCCCCTTATTAAAAAGTCCAGCTACCTCCCTACTGGCAAATGTGGGGCTTAGGGCCCAGGTGTGGAGGTGAGTGTGGGGGTAGGGGGGTACGTATTACCATTTTATACAGTTTGAGAGCTTCAGACCAAGGAGATTCTTTATCATCTCTCTTCCCTTTTCCTCTGGGGTGACTGGAGCTGGGGAAGGCATGCCTTGGGGTAGGGGGCCATTGATGGCCTCATCTTTGTGACAACCCCCTGCTGTCGTCCGTTTCCCCATCCTCCAGGACTCTGGCCTGCTGTCCTAGTGCTTGTGACCCCCCACTACCCCACCCCAGCCCTGTCCCCCATGGCGTGTATATTCTTTACAAGTCCTCCACTAGAGCAGCTATCTTGGATGGGGGGACGGGAGGCTCCCTCCCTTAGGAAGTGTGGCAGGAAGGGAGCGCCTTGTTTGTCGCTGTGTTTTGTTTTGTCTCAGCTGGGCTGGCATGGGAGGAGGGGGAGGGGCTCATCCAGTCTCTCCAGTACTCTCTTCCCCCCCAACTCCTCAAACTGTGTACCTAGTCCTCCCCTGTCCTCCAAAGAGGGGAAGGAGCCATGGAGGATGTCCCAGCTCTAAGCCCACCTGGGAGCGATAGACCTCTGTTCCCCAGCTGAAGTAAAGAGTCTTCATCTCCAATATCCCTTCCATCCCCTTCCTCATAGAAAGGAGGGGGGAAGCAGCCAGGATCCTCAGCTCTGTTTCACAGTTGGACACTCGGAGGCTCTGGGCCCAGGGTGAGGCCAGGAGTAGGGTCCCATGGGTCTGGGCCCAGCTCTATGGCTTCTCTGCCTTTTCCTGTGGCCAGTTCCAGAAGTGTTAGCACCACCTCTCTCCCCTACTCTTCCTTCTGGATTCTGGGGTCCCCCACACCCAGTTTCCTTCACTCCAGCTGCAACTGTTGGGAGGGTATTGTGTCGAGCTGAGGGAAGGGGTGGGGAAGATGGATATCCCACCCCAAATGTAATGCCTTTTTTTTTTTTTTTTTTTTTTTTTGGGCCATTTGAGTCATGTATGGTACTGATCAATAAAGAGACTTTTTGGTTTGAGAGTGTTGTCTTGGTTGGTCATTGATGCCTAATAACAACTCAGTCCCAAGCAGTCTTTCCCTCCCTTCCTGTAGTCCCTAAAACCAGTTATTAGGAAGGAAGTAGGAATATGTTTGTGGATCCCCCTTCAGTCTCATCTTTTCCCCTCACTCTTCTGCCATTGCTCCTCCTGTCCCAGACTGGCTTTGTCTCCCTCAAAAGTTGACTCCCTCCCCTGGGACAGTTATTCCTCACCCCCAACTGCCATGGGGCTGCCAGACAGATGGCCTTCCTGAGGCAGGGTTCCTGGGATGGAAGGCCCTGGGTCAGACTGTTGGGGGAGGGGGAGGGGTCCTTGCCTAGGCTTGGGTTGGAGGAGCTTTGGGTGGTTAGAATGACTGGGAGACTTGGTCCTGTTTTTGTCAGTGAGGTTCCTGCCCCTACCCAGCCTCCAGCCTACCAGCCCAGCTGAGCTCTCTGAGCTAGCATCCCCTGGTGTTAGGTCCTGGGTGGGGAAGTAAGAGAGTAGCTGGATTGTTTGTCTGCTTGCTGACTTTGGGTGGGGACATGGAGGAGGATGCCTGAGTGCAATTGCTAGGGGCAGCCTGAAGCTCCTTAGGTGGAAGAATAGCGTGCTTTTTAAACTCCTTTCCAGGTGGTGACTCCTCCCAAGTCCCCTTCTCTCTTCTCTCCCACCATTAAAGATTGGCAAGATAGGGAGACCCTGCTCTAGGTTGGGGTTGGGATCTTAGCACCTACAATTCCTCTGCCCAGACTATTTTCATCCCAAAAGAGGGAATCCAGCCTCTCAGACTATTCCCCCACTAAAGTCTTTGGATTTGAAGTAGCCTCATAGACCTGTACCTCTACTCTCACCTCCCCAGCTGGCAGGAAGAAACCAGAGGAAAGGACTGCATGGCCCTTCCCACCCCTCTCCAATCCATATAGTTATCTTGGCCCGTCCTCCGCCAGCCCAGCTCCTCACTGCCCGTTGCCTCAGGACCCCAACGCCTGCATTCGTGCACATGCCCACTTCATTCTGCTGCAGGCCTGACCTGATGGACATTTACCAGCCAGCTGTTACCACCAACTCACCCTGGGAGTGCTAGGTAACATCGATCTGCAGTGTGTCCGCATTTGGAACTAGGTGTGTGTACATCTGGCTTTCCTGCCTGTCTGCCAGTGTGTATTTGTGTATGTGACTGTCGGGCTGGGAGAGGGCTTGGATAAGGGTATGTAAGGGCACATTGCATGTGTGAATATGTATGTAGGCTTTTCTTTGCATTGGTTTATGGGATGTGTCTTGGATTTATTTGTTCATTGAGCCCTTTCTAGGTGCCAGGCCTAACTCTAGGTGCTAGAGATGCAGTACTGAACAAAGCAGAGCAGGCATGACTGCTGGGTGTGAATGGGAGGCTACAAGTACGTAAATGAGGGTATGTTGTTGAATGCATGGCTTGGCAGTATTGTGTTACGGGGCTGCTGCACCAGCAATTGTGTGACAAAGTTGCAGGTTCATATCCTCTATGTGTGAGTGTGTGTTTTGGAAGAGGCAGTGGTCATGGGAAGAGGTAGATTGCCAGGCCTGGACTCTGCCCTTCTTGGGGGAAGGCAGTGAGCCAGAGAGACAGGGGAACCCACTTTTTGAACTCAGGAAGCATAGTGGCCAGCGACTTCCTCTGGAGCCCTAGATCTGACTCCTCCCTGTTTGCCACAGCAGCCCCTCTGGGGAAGGCCCTTAGTCTGGAGGAATTGCTAGGGTGGGGCGGGGGAGAGGGAAAGTCCCTTCAAGGCCCAGCCCCAGGCCCCAGGCCCCAGCATGATGCTGAAAAGTTTGGTTCAGCCCAACTGTGTACCCCAGCCAGCCCCAGTGCAAAGACACAGGCCCTCAACCCCCAGACCCCGAGATCAGCCTGAGCCAAGCTCCTTCCCTGTGTTTCTCTTCTAGCTCAATCCAGCCTGACCTCCAGCCCATTTCTTAGGAATTCCAGCACAACCTCCCAGCACCTCTTTTATTTTTATTTTTATTTTTTTTAAAGATTTTATTTATTTATTTTGACAGAGAAAGACACAGCAAGAGAGGGAACACAAGCGGGGGGAGTGGGAGAGGGAGAAGCAGCCCCTCTTTTATACTCTTAGCCTAAGCCAGCCTGACCTCTAGCCCCTTCCCCAAAGGTAAGATTCCAGCCCAGCCAGACCAACCCAGTTCAATCTGACCTCAAGTCCCTTACCGAAAGGTGAAAAGTTCTAAACTGCTCCCCCAGGGCTTTCCCCTAACCCTTATTTCACAAAGTAGGGCCTTATCTTGGGGATTGGTAGAAGTTGAGGTGAGGGTACAGGATTGGAGCTACAGTCTGGATGAAGGAGGATGGGCAGGGAAGGCAAGCAAAGGAGGAGCAAGAAGTGCTGAGAATGGCCCAGGAGTGTTCTGGGCCAGGCTGAAAGGAAGGGAGTATATAAAATGTTTTGAGTCAGCAGCCCATTTCTAAGCTGAACTTCAAAGATGCTGGGTTTGACCCCTGCTGGTCCCAGTTCCCCAGTATCCAGAATGCTTACAACTGTCTACCATGTGGCCGCAGTCCCACCCCTCAGGACCCATCTCTGAGGCTCCTCCCCACCCCCACCGGGAGGTCTTTGACCAATCGCAACAGGAAATGGGTGGGAGACTACACACCTGCCCTTCTTAGCCTGGAGAGTGGGGGAAGCTGGATAGGAATGGTGACCCACATCTCCAGGTTCCTATTCCAGCCTTGGGAAGGGTCCATTTTCCCACCAATTCTGGGACCCTTTTCCTGAAGTAGCCAAACCCTGGATTATTCCCCTCCTTACTGCCCCACCAGCTCACCTCTGCAGGAGGAGAAACTAGAGACAGTCCCTGGAGAGAAATCCTAGAGAGGGTTGGGGGAGAAGAATCTTTTCACCATTACTCCCAAATAAGTAAGTCTGTCTGGAGAAGGTAAGTGTAATTTCTCTCCTTTTCCTTTAAAGATGTCAGGTGCACAGAATTAGATTAATCATAACTTTGGTTCATGACACGTTCTTTTCATTGTTCCATGCACAGGACACATTTATTTATTTATAATACTGTTATAATAACTCATTAACATAAAAACAAGGACCACGGAAATAACTGAAATCTGTGATCCGTTCCCATCCCACTCCTCTCCCACCATTCCATCGTTCTTTTTTCCTTTTTATATATTTATCTTTGCTCTATGTACAGATTTTCCCCACTCTCTGAAAGTAGAACATTCCCATGAAACCTGTAACAAAATGGTGTAAAGAAGCAATTACCAATAATTTATATGGAAAAATTTTTTGAGCATTCCCAGACTCAAAAAATAACCGTTCAGGCTTTTTTAAAAAAGATTGATTGATTGATTGATTTAGTTATTTGAGTGAGAGAGAGTCCTGAGCAGACTCTGCACTGAGCATGGAGCCGGATGTAGGGCTTGATCTCACAATCCTGAGATCATGACCTGAGCTGAAACTAAGAGTCAGATGCTTAATTGCACCACCCAGGTGCCCCAAAAGTGAAAATCTTCTTCAGACTTTTTTCAGTTATTGAAAATAGGTACTAATGGAGGTCTTTCATAAAAGTGAAGTGGTTTAACGTGAAGGTATTTTTTTTAACATGAACTTTTGAAAAGCAGGGGATACCTGTATTCCTAAAACTTTATTTTGGCGGTGGGGGTGGGGGGGGGCGCCTCGGTGGTTAAATCGGTATGTTAAGGAAGGCCTCTCCAAGTTCTGTCAGTTAAGACATGAAGGGTGAGGAGTACATCACCAGGTGAAGAGCATAGGAAAGAGGATTTCAGGTGGAGGAAACAGGTTCTGATACCGGGAAATGCTTGGCAGTTTGGAAGGATAGAACACCAGTGGGATCTGAGTCTAGGGAGCAAGGGGAAATAGTCACAAGAAAGAGGCTAAGACCAGATGGGACAATACGGTGGTGTTGATGACGATGATGAT